AGGCGATAAGATGAAGAAGATGAGGAAAAAAAGATGAAGATTATTAATCAAACAAATAATATGGAGATGAGGATGAATTCGAAGAAGAAATCAATCCAAACAACATAAAAATTATTCTCTTTTAATTTTACGTGCATTTGTGAGAGTTAAGGCCACCATATTAGAGTTAATACCCCATAATTTGTTTCAAATATAAATTATTTTCAATATTTTACATGTATTTGTTAGAGTTTTAGACTCACATATTAGGGTTTAGTATCTATTTATTTGCTAAAATAAAATAAAATTATTGAGGAAAGTTTCATTTCTAAATGAAAAAAATATAGCCTGGTTTTCAAATTTATTTTTCCCATGTAAGGCAATTAACGTTTACGATAAGATTTTGAAAAAGACTAAGTTCAATATGAAACAAATCAAATGTCTCAAAACACGTCATTCGGAATGGAAACAACTTGGATTCGATAAAATAGTCCAATTCTAAAAATTATCCGACATGCTTTTTATTGTGTTGATAACGAATAAGAAACATTACCATAGATAATATAATTATATGTCTATTATCATCTCGATAACTTATATATATTACATATATATTTTTTAATGTTCAATATTGATTTCATAAATAATCTTAAATATCGATTAGTATGGTTTGTTCAATTATAATTTATTAAATATTAAATATATAATATATCAAATTATGTGTTCACCATTTAAAATAAATAATTAGTTTTGTGTTGAATGTAAAATTCCAATTTACAATTTTAAACTTTTAGCACCTGAGATATTATTGTTTCGCGCAACGCGCGGGTACCTGCCTGGTGCAACATATTATATATTATATTAGAAGCGGAAATTCTCAACAAGAATGTGGTCCATTAATAATAATTGAGAATTTTCTTTAACCGCCAAAATAATATAATGTTCTTTGAGTGAGCATATTTTATGGCATCCATAGGGCGACGCATCCTTTGGGCATTTAGTTTTTTAATGGATTGATCTTGAATATAATCTGATTTATATTTTCGGAAAAAAAACAAGTAGGGTTACGATTTTTAGGGAGGAAAAGTGATTAATTTGATGATTTTATATTAAACTTATAAACGCTTACATGTTCTTTTTCTCCTTTTGATAACCTATACATGTTTCTTTGTCATTTTGAAGATTATCGAGAAATTTCAAAAAATGTCATTTTTAAGTGTTATTTTACAAAAATATTACACTTTTAAATCTTTACAAAAATACCACTTTTTCAAAAAAAAAAAATTTATATTATTTATATTTGGGTTAATTATGTTCTATTAGTGTTTAGTTTTGAGTGTTTATGGGGTTTTAGGTATCAAAACATTTTTTAGGATTTAGAATTTTAAGATATAGGCTTTATAAATCTATAATTAGTGGCATTTTTGTAAATAGACATCCCTAAATGATATTCTTACAAATGTGCACATAAAAAATGACATTTTTGTAAAGATTATTCAAGCTCTATATGTTCCCAGAAACCATGTCATACAAATACACTTGTAATTAATTTCAAAAAAACAATACTCCAGTATTAAATGGTTATTTTATATAATAATATTATAAGGTATGATTGGTAGACTCTTTTTAGAAGGAAATAAAGAAAAGAAAATATTTTTCTTTCTTTCACCTTTTGAACCAATTAAGAAGAAAAATATTTGTTCTCATTTCTTCTCATGTCACCATCTAAAGATAATTTTTTTTTTCATCAAATATTTTGTGTTTTTGTTGGAGGAAAACTTCCCATCTCAATAAAAACAAGTGGAAATTTTTTTTTCCTTTTCTCTTTTATTGTAACCAGTTAGACCCATAGTTTGTATTTTTTTACGTAACTATTTAGTGAAACAGTAAATATATTGGTGTTACGAGTAACATTTTTTTTTATTGTACTGTTATCTTTTTATCTTTATTTCATATTATTTATAACTATAATATTTTATTTTACCACTATCTCGTATTTTAAAACAAATTGTATCGTTTTGTGTCACCAACAGGACTAACATATTCATCGGTGATTGTAAGCCATGTGCTGGATTAGTTATTAAAGTAAGAGATGGGGTTTGATTAGATAACGTGACCAATTAGTTACCAGCATTCCAACAATCAGATACATGATATAATCCATGAATTAACGAAGGAAGTAGGTTAGGGTTGTAAGAACACGAAATTAAATGGTTGTATCGGTTATTAGTTTTAAAATAATTTGATTATACATGGCTATAGCCTACAATTGCATTCCTGCGTATTTAGGCACTTTCATCATAAAATCAAAACACACATATTTCTTCTCTCTAAAAGATTTTCACCATTTTTCGATAGAACATGCATACATATGATTTCTTTACTATTGGTGTGTATAAACATTACTAGTCAGTATTAATTACGAGTATATTTAAAATCAAAAATATCACTGGGCATGTGATCCACCATCTCCAACGTGAGTCCGATATTCTGGTGATTAACTGGTCATTTTTCTATGGAATTCCTCAAAAGATACACATGATCATAATAGAAATATATCATATTAAATTAAATTGTGTTATGTAGGACAATTGAGGTGGTAGCTAGATCGTGCGAGGAACCAATTATCTATCGATATTTTGTTATTTAGTGTAAAAAATACAGACAATTATATATCTCACTTTTTTGTCGCAATCACAATCATTATTTCTTCACATGTATATAATTTTCGTAAATAGTAAATACTCACTA